TTCGTGCAGGCTCATATTATTTTGTGTAGCGATTATAGTTTGCAAGCTGGTGGGCAAACGACTAGTCCATATTGTGCGGATGAAATCGTCTGGTATAGCGGGCCCAGCTAGATATTGTAAATGAAGTAGAAACTGGGAGGGCTTCCTGTCGCCGAGTTCCTCCTGCATTAAAAGTTGCTTAGTTTTTCTTTTTTGCGATGCAGATAACCGATGTATTAGTTCCGCTTTTAATTTATCATATTTTCCTGCTTCTGGAGGCGAGATTAATAAATCACGAACTTCCGCTGCGTACTGTGGTTCAAGCTGTGCCAACACATAATAAAACTTCGTGTCATCTTTCGTGATATTTGATAATATGAATTGGGCTTCGATTTGTGCAAACCATAATGTGGGGTTGTCGGAGTTAAATGGTGGCACACGTACACCGACGCGGTATGTTTCTGCTGAATGATCCATAGCTTCCTACTTAAATTGCGATCCACAATATCTTCTTGTTTGTTGTCGGGGTCACCAATGTAGGAACTAGAGTATTTGATGCAAATTAAAACGTCGAGATCAGAACAGATAATAAGCTTTATTTCAAGAAAGGAGGTGCTTATATAGGAGCCAAAACAAAAGACGTCGATCATACGATGTGGCGTGATTTAATGCGTTGGCCCAAGTGAAGGATGTAAGCGGTAAATTATCGCTACAAGTCTCATTTATTTGTTTGTCATGGTATGGTGACATCTACAACATCAATACAGATTAAACCAATCGCTTGCCAATTGTTTTACAATAAGGAAATGATATTGAACAGCCGCCTCATTGCATACCTACCTACTAACCTCCCACCTACTGCCAATTCCGATTTTAATGAAATGGGAAATGGGGATTATAGGACAAGTATAAAAGTATAGAAAGCTACCTTAATGACAAGGGTATAATGTCCAAGAATACATTAAGGATGTGTGGAAATGACTCTTGCTCTGCACTTACAAGACCCCGGCTGCTGCTGATTTTATACGTTAATAAGTTTGTAAAATTGCATCACAAAAGAAAGAACAAAAAGAACAAGAGTTTCTTGCCGATTCTTCTCTGTTCAGGTCTAGTTTAGTGAACTGGTGGTAGATTTTTGTTGACGTTCAATAAGAGCTTAAGTTAAGCCTATATTGAATAAAGATACTTTGACTTTGACTTTAACGGACGTATTATATGGAATGAAAAAAATATTATTTACTCGTAAATTATAATTTATTTATGATAAATTTGACCACAATATGAACATCGAAGGTGACTGAAAAATTATTTTATATAACTTAAATATATTAAGAATATAAATAAAAATTGAAAATTTCATTTGTAATATAAATAAAACTTTAAATATTACTATATATATTCATGCGTCCAATAGCACCCATTCCTTTCGATTTCTATAATATCCAAAGTGCTCTTGAAATGCCATCTGATGACATAGGTAGCGTCGCAATAAGATATTACGAGTATTTACCGGGCGAGTGTGGCAAGGATTAGACCAGTATGTTTAAGTTTCTTTCGTGCGCGGTGCTGACGATCATTGACCACTTTTATGCGTTTATGGCGAGTAGAATTACTATTATCTAAAGTTAGAACTTTGTTGTTGCCTATTTAGATACATTAATGGCTAATATTTGTATCAAGACAAGATTGTCTGGTGGAGAGAGCCTGGCTCCAGGCTAAATTGCAAGTATTTCCAGAAACGTAAAAATAATATAAAATGAGTGAATGTGCGTGTTATCTTTGATACTATAAAATTAAAAAATGTTGCTTTGGTGCAAAATAGTTAAAAATTAAAAATATGTTTAACTCCTGGAAGCCTAACCATTGCTTCATTATAAAATAACTTACTCAACTATGCGTTCTAGTTTTCATAAACTTATTTAGATGAAAGTTATGTTTTCAAAAACGAAGTCTCCGATGAGTAGGATCTCGCAAAGCTAACTAAAAGTTTGTTCAAAGTTTGGAGCAGAACACAGGCAACTTAATTGACAGCAGATATTTCGCTAGTTACTAAAGTTATATATCGCTAATAATTCGGAACGATACACTTACGCTCTATGGTGAGGCTCTATTCAATGAGTTTAAAAATCCTTTTGGCAACTCAAATGACATTTGAGAAGCCATTTGACAGGTGATTAGTTAATTTCGACGATGATCAGTGTTTCAGAAACCGGGCGTTAATATCTTCACACACATTATACTTTCACAAAATGTGTTTAAGATTTCTTTGACATTTAAACGAGGCAAAAAATCCAGTAGTCATCGAACTTAACGTAACGTAGTTCTCCTCCGAAATTGCTCGACCGATTTTCCTGTAATTTTGTGTGCATATCAGCCTGGGTGGGGAATCGGATAACATCTGTTTTTCATCCCCCTAAATGTTAAAGGTGGTCCACCCCAAACGTTTTTTTCTACCCTACAAATAATTTAAATAGCAGAACAACGTTTGCCGGATCAGCTAGTAAGCTATAACGAACTCCGAACTTGGATACAATTACAGATAAATCGAACAATAATGTATGAACAATAGTGCATTTAGGTTCTAAAGAAATCTTAATGAGGCTTAAAACTTTAAAGCTACCTTCAACATTATTACAAAATGAGAATTTTTTTTTACAAAATAATAACATTTTGGTATAATTTTTATTTCTAGTATCAATAAGAGAATCTTGTAAAGCAATTTAGTTATACAAATGATTGGTTTATGCAGTTTGACAAATAAAAATGTATGCATCTCAAACAACCAATTGTATATTAAAAAATTCTAAACTTAGTGAGCTTGTTGTTGTTTACCTATAAAAAAATAACACACTGATGTTTTCATATGAAATCACGAATAAAGAAACACGTATTATTAACTGGTAACTACGCGATTGAATGTTTCAATACGTCACTTCGTCAACATGGGTTCGTGACGTTTTTCCATGTACAAAGTACTTCATATCGGGCCCCTATTGACACCGCAACCGATCGCGGCGGCAACCATCATTTTTGAGCACCATCGGCACAAAGTTCGAGTGCAGTTGAATTTTGAAATCGATAAGCCACAATTCCGAAGCTGAAACACCGGAGGCTTAGCTAATTTAGCCTTTCAGGAGAACGAGTTTACAATAGTGAAATCTGTTGCCGTTACCTTTTTTTCTTTCCTATGTTATTTTAATTTATGACGACGATTTTTTTATGCGTGAAATGTAGATTTCTGTGGGCCTGTCTAACTTGATTACATATTTTTGTCGATTACTAATTGCTCTTTACAGCCTATTGAACCTTTTATATAACGTTTCTGTTCTTCAGCTATAATATTGTTATGAATTAGACGCGAGTTGATTTTGTGTGAGATGATAGATGTGAGTTATTTGTGCAATGTCTATGTGTCTAATTATGCCTATCAGGCATGTGTTTAGGTAATATTTAGCTGAGTTCATGGTATCGTTATCTTTCAGTTTTAGGTAAGTATTTCCTGTGACAAGAAACTAGGGTAAAATGCGTGGATCTTGAATGAAAGTATTAAAATCATAGGCTATATACTCGTAGGTTTAAGTGAAATATTTTAATTACGAATTTTATCAGGGCCAGGTGCTTTCCAATCAATAGTTCTTTTTATTGCTATTTCTATATGATAGCTTTAGAAATTCTCCTAGTCAGCCTAATCGAGCTGAGATCCGGTCCTCTCGGACACCTTCGAATCAGAATGCTCAACGGGTTCTGAGTAATAGCCCAAGCCGAGGTCCCCACCCGGGGCCTCTTAAGCCTAGTTACTCCATGGAGCGTCCGCCGAAGCGACCTAAGAACTTGGCGGTCTCGCAAACCAGTGAAAATAATAACAGCGTGAGGTCCCGAGCCGAGGCTCCCTCGGGACCACTCGTGGCCACCTCGTGTCCGGTACATCTGTAACGGTGGTCAACTATACATATCGTTCTCTACGTCGACTATAGACTCTTCAGCGACACTATATCATTAAAACATTTCGTACACTTAAGTCCAATTCTAACTCTACTTCAGTCTAATTTAAGTATTTCCGTGGAAATTGTGGGAGCTTGTCTGTGAGCTACAGATAACTTTGGGTCCCTAATTGCTGTAAAAAGGGTGATATCTCTTTTTAGACCTGCTCATCCAACCACAATTGCCCTCCTTTACCCTTTCCTTTTACCTCATCGTACTGTCTGTTAATTACCAGTTACACTACGCACTTTATTTAACTCATATTTAAATTTAATTGAAAATAAAAAAAACGATGTTGTAGAGAAGTTGCCACAATAAACCTTTTATTACGAGTCGTTACTCGTATTCTTCCGGTACCAAGTCTTCTTTTGAAAGAACCTACCTCTACAAATCTTTTGTATATTCGAGAAACCGTAGAAACGTAGAACCGTAGAAGCGTAGTGGTAAGAAAAGTCTTGTTACAATAATGCAATAAAGCAAATAGTAAAGATGATTCAATTCTTAGAGATAAAAGAAATTAATAACAATTGATTTAACACATTATCATGTTACCACGCAAATCAAAAATAGGTAGCGTTTTGACAATCAATAAGTAGGTGTAATGCTTCTATATTGAATAAACTAATTTGAATTTGATTCTGATATTTTAGGAAATTTTCACTTTTTGCGGCGAGAGTCATTTGTTGTCAGTTGATTCCATTTTTGAATTTTTATTCGTAATATGATGAATATGATTCGTAAAATAATGAATAAATAAGTAACGAATGGGCAGGCTCGTCCGGGTAAGTACCACGACCTCACAGAAGACCGGCGTAAAGTGGAAGTATAATACTTTCGTGTTTCATCTGGAGAGTGAGGTGGCCGGAGCCCAATTTTCAAAAAGGTTGTCAACGCATCTGCAAACCCTCGGGGGTAACAGACGTCCATGGGCGGCGGTATTCACTTAAGATCACGTGAACCACCTGCTCGTTTACCAACTGTTCACATAAAAAAACACAACGATTTTTTTGTTTATATAGCAAATAATTTTCTGTTAACAGGTAATGTGTTCGTGATCGCCGCCATTATAATTGAGAGGAACCTTCAGAATGTCGCAAACTATCTAGTCGCTTCTCTCGCTGTCGCTGACCTAATGGTGGCATGTCTCGTGATGCCATTAGGAGCTGTTTATGAGGTTCGATTAACTTGAGATATTATGTATTTTAAATTTTTGTAGTTACACTTTTTTTGTGGCGTTAGGGAAAAATGGTGACAGTAAAGTTTTACGATGCGCGCGCACACCGTCACGAAAAACCCTGAAGTTAGATATAAACGTGTGTTTGCGTGAGAAATGAGAACTGTATTAACGATATTTATTTTGTGATATTTAAGTAAACTTTATTTAACTAGTTAATGCGTTATAATAAAACTTTCAACGTATTAAATAACTTTTTTCTATTGTTTAGTTTTTCGGGGAGTTTTTTTTATCTACAAAAATAGACTTATTCTACGAAAGATAAAATTTTTGAAGATTTTTATCTTGTTACGCCAAAGAAGTATAACTTCTAATGCGTGTAAACAAGTACACACACACTTTTTTATTAAGAACAATTGAATGGGCTAGCGGACTGCTTGCTAAAATCTGTAAATGATTTTGCCAGTAATCTTAAGATCGCCTTAAAATTTACTTAAAACCTTTCTTTCGTTTGGATATTAAGGCCTTTGTTTATAGTGTAGTGGCGTCACAGTACTAGGTTTTCATAAACTAAAAATAAGTGCATTTTATTCATTTTGACAATTCTCCATATAGACCTACTGCGTTCGCTTGTATATATTTTTCATAATTTATCGTTCTCCTTTTTACCACGTAACGAATTAAAATAACATACGAGTAATACAACGTCCCTATAAAGGATTTTTGATCCCGCTAACTGTACTTCTTGGCCAGACCAAGACCAGACCTTTTTGCCACAGGGCTAAAATCCTTCACGGATCCCCACTGCTTAGACTCCCTAGACGACGAAGTATGTAGGAGTCACCAACATCGGAGAACCCACTAAAAACTCACGTTTCAGCTCCCTTATCGCTTTTGCATGTAATACTCACATATGCTAATTATGTATCCTCAGGTCAGCCAAGGATGGATTTTAGGTCCAGAACTCTGTGATATGTGGACATCGAGCGACGTCCTGTGCAGCTCAGCTTCGATACTTCATTTAGTGGCAATAGCAACAGATAGGTTGGTACCGCCACTTATCTCCCACGCTCAAAGAATGGTTAATGACCATCTACAAATACAAACTTTTTTTTTTTCACTTTTATGAATTTGTCATGCAAGTTGAGATGAAGTTGATTTAAAAAAAATGAACAAAAGATAGTCTTTTATTTTAATTTTTTTCCCATATTTAGGCCACCACACTTTTGAGAGTATTAAGAAGAGCTAGTGAAAATACCGTTAAGCTGACGATAAAGTACCCAGCAACGGTCATGTCAGTTAGATTAACATCAAATATTAATCGTATATCATTTACATATATATTTTTTTCAGTGTATTTAAAAATGTTAAGTACGCCAAACTCTTCCGCCACTTTTCACTGCTTTTGGTAATTTTTAACTACTAGCAAATATAAGAGAAAAAACATCAGAATTCAGTATCCACAAAAAGATGTCTTCAGTTATGTTAGCCACGTATTTGCGTCGAATTCGCAACATATACAACACTCTCACGAAGTCGTGTTTGCATAGCTGAAGTATGGAAATTCTGTTTATGCGACGGTGCTGGATAGGAGTAGACTGCAAATTAATTTGCGATTACGTGACTTGGGAACGCTTTATCTGTATCATGATTTAGCTGCTACTGGGACAATGTTTAAATGATGCGAATAGTAGTTGGAAATTAAAATATATTCTATTCAGTCACTTGTAATTACGCTTAAGTCTTGCAGGTTTTTAATTGGTTATAGTTGGTGAGTTAATAATAAGGGAAAGATTGGCTGCCAAAATCTGTCAGGTTTTGTCATTACACATTAAACAACATATATCACGGCGGTACATGTTTGGACTATTTGTTGTAAAAAACGAACTGAGCTATCTTGGCTCACAAGAGGAGGCTTTACTTACTTTATTTTTTATTTTAATAAGGAACACATTCGGCAACATTATATACTCTTTTGTATAATAGAAAACTGCAGGAATTGTCACAAATTCATAATCATAGCATTCTTGTCTATTAAATATTGTCACATGTATTAAATAAGGCTTAGATGCAAATGTTGCGTACGAGAGAACTTTATCTGCGTAACATTCTGGTAGGTGATATAACATAATATAAAAAATAATGAATTATATAAATATGAATTCAATCAGTAGTTTAGATACAATAAGATAACACAGGCTCAACGAATATGTATAAACGTCTATCGTAGAACATTGTACTACCTAAAGTTATCTTAATATATTCAATAATGAAAAATAATTTATATATTCCCAGGTACTGGGCGGTAACCGATGTGGATTACATCCATATACGCAACGAGAGGAGAATTTTCACGATGATCTTCTTGGTATGGGCCGCTGCGCTCGTAGTTTCCCTCGCCCCCCAGCTGGGATGGAAGGACCCCGACTACCTAGCTAGGATAACGCAACAGCAAAAGTGCCTAGTTAGCCAAGATCTTGCGTATCAAATCTTTGCTACCTGCTCTACCTTCTACGTACCACTTGCTGTGATTCTAATATTGTACTGGAAGATCTTCCAAACTGCTAGAAGACGAATCCGGAGGCGGCGGGAACCACCCCCACCGCGGCCGACGTCCGCAGACGGCGCCCCACCGGCTGGTCGACCAATACAATCGGCGAGGGATAGGCGATTCATTAAGAAACGTTTCTTGAACCTGAAGAAATGTAACCAGCGTACCCGCGTCGAGACTCTAGCAGCCTCCCTCCTGCTTACCGAAGGTCAAAGCACGTCAACTGTGGACACCTTAGACGAGGAACCACGGACTACTGCGTTCACCATAAACGAAAAGGTGCCTTCTTCCGTGTCGCCAGAAAAATCTTCCTCAACAGTCACCAACGGCTCAAAAGCAGAACGAGCGATCGCGCCCGCAATGTCTCAGAGAGAGAAAAAAGAATCCCTCGAGGCTAAGAGAGAGAGAAAAGCGGCGAAGACGCTTGCAATAATCACGGGTGCCTTTGTTTTCTGCTGGCTGCCGTTTTTCATAATGGCGTTGGTGATGCCAATCTGCCAGACATGCGTGATCAGTGACTACCTCGCCAGCTTCTTCCTCTGGCTTGGCTATTTCAACTCCACCCTCAACCCGGTCATCTACACAATATTCAGCCCTGACTTCCGGCAAGCGTTTGCCCGAATCCTCTTCGGCACTCACAGGCGCGGCCGAAACAAAAAATTCTAACAGAAATATCCTTACTATGTATATAATTGAGAAGACTCTTTAATGGACATTGTTACTCTCTTCCTCATAAAATATTTTTAAGCTTTCTGTATGTTATACATACTTATAATTAGTATTAGTGTAAATAATCCTTAGAGTTGTAAATAATATTATAGACAACGTTGAGAATTGTTTTTATTACGCGTTATAGATCTTATTGCCGCGACGGCGTCGCTCGCGAGTCCAAAGTGACACCGCCGCCAGCTCCTTTGTTGTTTCCAGTGACATTACAAAATAAATATTCAAATTAAACCATTCAAATGACTTTTATTGACATCCTTAAAAAGCTTAGTTAACATGAAAGGTTTTACCAACATGCTGAAACTGCTTGGTACGTTTTTTGTATGGATTATTATTTTATAACTTAGGGCTTTGACCTATTTTGGAAGTTTAATTAAACTAAAAATTTCATGGTCACACAAGTTATACACTGTCATTGTAAAACGGTATTGCTAGCAAATGTAAACAACTTTCATAACAAAAACCTCTCACACGTTCTTCTTTTGGGTTTTCTACCCTACTACTCCAGAATGATGGTGACGTTTCTCAAAATAATATTTAGGGTCGCTCTTTAATATCTCTTTAATATAGTATTATCTGTTGGTTATGATTAACTATTACTCCGCTAACTGTTTAAGAATCTATTATTTATTAACCGACTTCAAAAAAGAAGGAGGTTTCTCAATTCGACCGTATATATATTTTTTTTATGTGTGTTCGGGGATAATTCTCATTTTTCAACCGATTTTAATGATTCTTTTTTTGTTGGGAAGGAGATATCCTAAGGGTGGTACCATGATAAAGAAACCCAGATCTGATGATGGCATCCCAGAGAAATCGAGGGCAATCCACAAATGTTATAGGCGTAGACAATGGTTTTAGTTTTCTGTTTGAAGTCGGTTTTTTGTTCAATATTCATTATATCAACTTCGATAGTTTTATGCCCTTTATTCTTCAGTGTTACACTTTTGCGTTTCGTCGGGGGAGTGAGGCAGCCGACGCCGAAAGGATTCTGCAAACCCACGGGTGTTGCAAATGTCAATAAGTGATGGTTGTCACTTAACATCGGGTGCAACGCATGCCCATTTGCCACCTTTTCACATAAAGAAAACACACAGCTCAATTAGTTAAATTCTTTTCTAAGACATGTAGACACCAAACTAAGTAATGGTTTGAAACTAAATACCTACGTCAAAGTATTGCGATTTGTATTGCGACGCTGTGGCAACGAATGAAAAAGTCTCTGAATGTATGAATCAGAGGTATAGGATGTTAAAATTTTTGTTTCTTTTTTATTTAATTAGTTTGTTTGAAAAATATTTTTTTTAGTTATGGATTCTTTAAAGTTAATAATAAATTAATTTCTTTATGATTATTTCAAGTAGCGTTAGACGTGTGCTCATTTATTGTCGCGGTTGTAACGACACGCTGTATTTATATATAATATATAATTATAATAACGATTAGGTAACGTATCGATTCACAATTAACAGTTTCCAAGTGGAACGGGAAATCATTAATTAGAAATAACTCTATCATCGGTTTTTCGGTGTTTATAAAAGCTACTTTATTTTCGGATTTACAATCCATTTTCAGAGATAATTCTTTCTTTTTTCGCTTCACAATTATGACATTAAAAGTAAAAGCGACGAAGCAATTTGTTTGTCGAGGACAATTCTATTGTTTCATTGAGACAATGATTTGTTTTTTCGCGAGATTTCAAATAGCATCATCGTTTGATTTATGGGGCATTATGATAATAAAGCCTTTCGTAAAAATTGCCATTGCGTTATTATATTCGTATAAAGGTTTTTTCAGAAATCGAATTTAAAGTCGGAGCGAATTCTTAAGGTTTTTATAGAAGAAAAATAAAATGATTATACAAATACAATTTTTTTTGTATTCTACAGATAGAAATTATTGTTAACGAAAATGGCGAATCGCTTTCGATTGACTGCGTGAATGACGCTTAAGGTAATCTAAAATTGACCCATGAGAACTTGATAACTATTCCCTTTTTTACTGCGATTAATAACAAAGAAAAGTCAAACTCACGAACCTATGTCGAGAATCAATTTCAGCTTGTGGTTGTTGCTCACTAATGTCTTAAAAAATTTGAAACCTAATTTCATTAATACAACTATGGCCATGCTGAAAATTGTGTTGTCACAGTCGTTGCCATTGCAAACTATACATAACTAACAAAACCTTGGATAACATCTTGTAGGATTAAAATTCTCTATAATATGATATAACTACAATACTTTATTATGATATATATAGATTTAGTATGTATAGATATCTCCCGTTACATGATACTAACTACACGCAGTTAAGTGTTCGGCCTTCTGTTATCTCCAGCGGAATGCTTCGTTGGCTTTGTTCTTAAGCTAATTAGAAGAGCCGCATTCAGTTCTCACTCTTTGTGGTGCCTATGTGAGACACGCTTTATTGGAGCCCTAATTGACACAAGCAGTCAATTCAGTGTTTGTATCCATGGAGTGTTTGAAATGTTTATATCCAGTGTTTATACTAATGTAAATAAATGAATATTTCGGGACATATTTTAGACAACATTATCTAGTCTTAATCTAAGCAAAATACTATGAATACTAGGTAACTGATAATAATACTTAAACGTACTATTCTTTTGTTAATAAATACATATTATAGATATATAAACAACCAGACACTAGAAAAACTATACTTATCACACTTTGTTACATTATACGTACAATCGCATGTCGCATCGTCCATATAATTTCAGTTTTACCTTTACAAAACTCTTATTAATGTAAATGAACAACCTTATTATTTCCTTGGGTAAAATTAAATAAAGTCTACAAGTTTTGTTCAAAATCACGTACCAAAAACATTTATAACCGTGAGGAACATGGCAGTAGAATATTGTATAAAAACGTTAAATTCGTCAAAACGATACATTCCTAAGCGCTATTCATATATCATAGGCGGTGACAGCCCTGATAAATGGTTGGATATAAAGAAATGAGAGTTGAAAAATACAAATCTTATAATAGTACTAGCGACCTGCCCAGGCTCCACACGGGTGCAATGTATAATAACATATATAAACCTTCCTCTTGAATCACTCTATCTAGTACAAAACCGCATCAGGATCCGTTGCGTAGTTTTAAAGATCTAAGAATACATAGGGACAGACAGACAACGTGACATCTTTGTATAATACTATGTAGTGATTTAATATTCGTTTATATTTCACTAGCGATCCGCCCCGGCTTCGCACGGGTGCAATGTATTATACATAAAAACCTTCCTCTTGAATCACTGTATCTAGTAAAAAAAACCGCATCAAGATCTGTTGCGTAGTTTTAAATATCTAAGCAGACGTAGGGTTAGAAAGACAGCGGAACGACTTTGACGACCCGAATGGCGTAGTGAGTAGTGTACCTGCCTCCTGCGTCAGAGGCTGTGGGTTCGATCCCCACTACTAGAAAAATATTGTGTGTTGAACATTGTGTTTTCCAAGTGTCTGGGTGTTTATGTATGTATAATATGTATTTATTTACAAAATTAAAGTATGTTTACGTATGTTTATCAGTTATCTAGTAACCATAGTACAAGCGTTGCTTAGTTAGGGAACGTGGTGTAAAAATATTTATATTTATTTATTTGTTTTATACTATGTAGTGATACGTATTAGTTCAGTGCTGTAAGTGCCTATGTTGAGTTAATAATTCAGGGTTCGCCATATCTACATATATCGCGATATCAACCCCGTCGTTAACCTTCTAATGAAGAAAATCAAGTTTAATTATGTCACTTTAAATTAGACAAATCCATATTATACGGCTAATAACTATAGAATTTTACTCAGTCATTGACTTTGGATATTGTTACTTCTAACAGAAATCAATCTACCATTTTATGTGAGGAACTCTGGCCTTGGGCCAAATTGATGTAATATCCGGATAAATTTACCTACTTTCATGAACTGTTAAGCATTTTAAAGAAGGGAATTATAGATATCCTTACCTTCTATTAACCTTCTACTAAATTCCTTCCTTCCTTCCTAAAACCTTCTATAACCTTCTATTTAAATACCAGGATGTCATAGAATCTCCAATATTTCATTACTTTACTAAAATCTGTTCTAAAACTATCTTCGTATCAGAAAAAGTTTATTATAATGGTGGCTAGATGTAGTGCTTATGCATACGTGTTATACGTACACTCGTATAATTATCATGTCACTGACTCGAATTCTGTGGAAAAGTTATTTATTTTTAGCAACTCCAATTATTTCATAACAAAAGGTTTAGACGTGTGAATACGAATGCACAGAGGACACCAGAAAAAATGTGTGTACAGACATATGACAAAGTAAAAGCAAACTTTTTACTAGTGGACAACGTGATATTACTATATCAAAAAGTCAAAAAGTCCCTTTATATTTATGGTGATATAATCTCGCTGCATGAAATTTCCTTACAAGCTGTCCATTTTATTAAAAGAGAAAAAGTCTTCACAGAGTGCGACACGGAGTGAAAGATTAGAAAAAGTTGTGAACGTGCTCTGTCAAGGCCTGACGCGGCAAAAATACGAACTGTCGTCCATCGTCAGGAAATAGGCATACGTCTCATCTATTATCGTAGACTCGGACAGTTGTTAGAAAGGTCTAAGACTGCGATGTATCGCAACAGCTTTGGCGGAATTAAGAATAGTTTGATTTTACACTTTAGTCGTGTTTCTGTACTGCACGTTCACAACATTCCCAATTATACTAAATACGCATTAGTCTCTTATCTTAGATTGAAACGATCGATCGAAAGCCAATCTGATATACTCCAAAATACTGCTTCTTAAAGCCTCAGCCTCCTTATTGCTTAATATGTGTTTCATATAGAGAGCGATTTTACATTTACATGGAGTTCATTAGTGATTTACTCTTCCTGCTTCATAATTCAGTAGTATACATA